GGTTCTTGGTCTGAAGTCACTACTCCAGAAGAGGGTTGGGCAGCTATCTTGCCTGTGTTTCTCTCTGAATTTCCAATTCAAAGGAAGATTTGCTTCATTTCGGGAGAGAAAAGGCCTGTGAAAGCAGCCTCCTCTGTGAGACAACTGCTGCAGCTAGGCCATTCCAAAGTTCTCTGGGCTAAAGGCAGTTAGTTGACTAGATGTGAGGAGATGCAAGGCAGAGTGTGGATATGAAGGCAATGTGAATGTGTGCTCAGATGCAAGTAGAGGAGGCATGCATACAGACACAGGCAGGGCAAACATTCATGCAGATGCAGGCAGGGTGGGTGTGGGTGGAGACCTGAATGGAAAAACAGGAAGTCTTGGTTTTCCCTCCACAACTGGGTCTGCCACCTCACTTGAGTTCCACCTGTCTCACTTCCTTCTGTTTGAGCTTAAGGGATTTCTTGTGGTCCAGCCAAACAGAAGTGATCTGCACAAAGTACCTCACTCAAATTCCAACTGTCCTGCTCACTCCTTGTCCACGTTGCTCCCAGTCTGCATTACTCATGGTCCACCAATAATTAAAACTTTGGTCAACTTTCTAGTAATTGAAAAGATCATGGTTTGGATCAGGTACACTTTAGTTTTCAGACTGTCATAATTGCCTTTCAATACTGTGGAGAGGTCCCTGACAGCAGACTTTCCCTATACAATTGTTGTTTTGATTTCTGTTTGCTAGTTCCAAGGGTTTTGTTGATTGTGAATCCAAGCAAGATGAAGTAATTGATAATTTATATCTTTTCTTCATCTATCATGATGTTGCATACTGACACAATACCAAGGATTTTTGTTTTCCTAATGTTAATATGTAACTTGTATTGAAGGCTGTAGTCTATGATCCTCTGGAACAGTTGTTTCAAGTCCTCCTCACTTTCAGCAAGCAAGTGTGTGTAATTTGCATACTGCTGATGTCTACCTCTAAGCCTAATGCCATACTCTTCTTCATATAGACCAGATTCTTGAATTATTTGCTCTGCATAGAAATTGAATAGGTATGGAGAAAGAATACAGCTTCGGTGCACTTTTCCAGATTTTAAATCATATGGTATTACCTTGTTCTGTTCCTACCACCGATTCTTGATCTAAGTATCGGATTCACATGTGCAAAATTTAGGTGTTCTAGGATTCCCATTCTTCTCAATGTTAACCATAATTTGTTATGATCCACACGGTCAAATGCCTTTTCATAGTCAATAAAACATAAATAGACATTCTTCTGATATTCTCTGCTTTCAGCCAAGATCCATCTGGCATCAACAATGATATCCCTCTTGCCATGGCTTATTCTAAATCAAGCCTGAATTTCTAGTAGTTATCTGTCAATGTACAGTTCTAGTTATTTTCTCCCATGATCTTCATCAATATTTTACTTGCATGTGATATTAATAATATTGTTCTGTAATTTCCAAACAACATTCTGTTGGATCACCATTTTGGGGAAAGGGAATAATACATATTTCTTCCAGTCAGTTGTCCTCCAAATTTCTTGGCATAGCTTGGTGAACACATCTAGGGCTGCATCTGTTTATTGAAATATGTCAAATTGGCGAGCTCTGGTGGCCTAGTGGCAGGAAACTGTACTGCAATCCCAGAGGTGCGTGGTTCAAATCCACTGGATGCTCTGCTGAAGAAGGAGGAACAATTGCCTCCTGTACCAGTCAGATCCAATTTGACGGTACACACATAAAAAGTAAAAAAAAAATATGTCAAATTGTATTCCAGCTGTTCCTGGGGCCTTATTTTTCATAATGCCTTCAATGTAGCTCTATCACCATTGGTTCTTGATCATATGCTACTTCCTGAAATGATTCTGTGTCAACCAATTCTTTTTGGAACAGTGACTTACTACATTCCTTCCACCTTTTGATGTTTCCTGGGTCATTAAAAATTTTGTTCATGACATCCTTGAGTATTGCAATTCTAGCTAGAATTTATTTTCCATTTTTTCAGCTTGAGTCCTTCTCTTTTTGTTATCCATCTCCAGCTCTTAGGACATTGGTTAATACTACTTTGCCTTGTCTGATATCTTCTGTTCATCTCCTTTGCTTCAGTCATTCTTCCTTTTGTTTTGTCTTCTCTTCTGACATCCACTTTGATCTTTTCTTCTTCTCCTGTCTTTGTAATGACCTTTTTGTTTTCTTTGTGAATGTTATCCTTGATGTCATCCAACAGCTTATCTGTTCTTCAATCATTCATGTTCAATGCCTCAAATCTATTTTTCAGATGGTTTTTAAATTCAAGGGGGATAAACTCAAGATCACCTTCTGCTAACATGCTAAGGAAGGGAGTTATATACACGTTTCTTATAGGACTTCCTTGATATGTGTGACCTTTGATATGGCTAACAACTAGTCTTATCAAGACATAGGATACAAAGAGAAAAAACAAAATATGACTGTTCAAGAGGTGATATTCTTAGATAATTATGAGGGAGGTGAATGAACCATGAGGTTGTCCTACAGCCTGGGTCAGTGGAGAGGTGACAATGGAAATGAAAGAAGCTCTTGATTCTTTGTTCCTCAGTGGCTACTGTGCATAATACAAGAGCCTCTCTAGTGGAATGAGTGGGTGAAACTGAGAAATGCTAGCATGGAAGTATTATTTCTAAAGTCTGTAATTTGAGACTTTGGATTGACAATAGGACTTTTAGATCATTTCAATACCTATTGTAAACAGCTAACATCTGCTGGGCTTAAACAGGCTATACTTTATTCTAAAGCATAGCATCTGGCTTATCACTGATTCTCTTAAATGTGCATGTGGGGGATAGGGATGGGTAGCATTTAAACTAAAAAAAATCAGTAGAACTAGATTAGCAGAACTATCATCTGATTTGGGGCCCTTCTACTGAAGTGTCTCAGAAAATATCAAAGTTGGAAAGAATCCTGATGAACATCTAATCCAATCCTCTTATTTTGCCTGTGAGGCAGAACAGTGAGCCCATGGTAAGCAGAGCAAGCAAAACAAGGCCTGGAACCTGGGTCTTCTGAATCTAGGGTGCCCTGTTTCACCCTATTCAGCAGCCTCTGGTGAGCAGGATGTTGGCTCTGCTGGGATCCATCTGTTGATGTCCAACACTTCTTTTGCTGACCCTCCACCTTTCCAAGTATGATGTCATTTTGTAAGGACTGGATCTTCCTAACAACATGACCAACTTATTTGAGATGAAGTTTCACTGTATTGCCTCCCAGATGCACCCTGGCTGTACCTTTTCCAAGACATATTCATTTGTACTTTTTGCAGTCCATTGAATAATCAGCACTCTTCTCCAAAACCAACACTCAAAAACATCTATTTTCCTTCTGTCTTTCTTATTCACTATCCAATTTTCAGAAACATAGCAAGTAACTGAAAAGATTATAGTTTGGATCAGATGCCCATTAGTTTCAAATTAACATCATTGTTCTTCAGTACTTTGGAGAGCTCCCTGACAGCCAACTTTCCCAATACATACATCTTTGATTTCCTGGATTTGGGTGCCAAGGGTGCTGATTGTGTATTCAAGCAAGATGAAATCATTGACAATTTCTAGCTCTTCTCCTACTGTCCTGGTGGTAAGAATTTTTTGTTTTCTTGATGTTGAGATGTAACTCATATTGGGCTGTACAATAGAACTAGACTCCATACTATCACGACCCACACTCATATCCACATCCCAAAAGCAGGAAAGAAAATAAAAAGCAGAGCTAATTGAGGTCATTTAAAAGCATCCTAAAGCCAAGTGTTCTGAGTATAGTATTGATAACAGGCAGATAAGCCACTCATGACTTAATAGAAAGCTAAGTGACACTTTTGGAAACCTATTTGTTTCCTGTGGTCTGTATAATAAATTTCCACAATATGAGCAGCTTAAAACAACAGAAATGTATTCTATCACAGTAATGGAATCCAAAATCAAGATATTGTCAAGGCCATGCTCCTTCTGAATGATCCAGAAGAAAAAAAATGTTCCTTATTTCTGACAATTTCTAGAGGATGCTGGCAATCTTTGGCATTCCTTGTCTTACAGATGCATTACTCCAATCTCTGTCTCTGTCTTCACATGGCCACCATTTATCTGTGTCTCTCATTCAATTTCCCCCCTTAAGGACACCAATCACCAGGTTAGAGCCCACCCTAAACCTGTAACAGTTCTTAATTGATTATATTGCAAAGATCCTTTCCTAAATTAAATCACATTAAGAGCACTAGGGCTTAGGAATTGACCACATCTTTGTGAGGGATCTAATTCTACCCACTATAGACCCTATATGGGATTTTCTCCAAGACTATATAGAGTCATACATTCACACAATGGACTACTGTGCAGCACTAAGGAACAATAATTTCATAAAATACTATGTAACATGGAGGGTTTAGAGTGAAACAACTCCGTCACAATAAGGATAAATACCAAATAAGACCACTACTGTGAAAATAGGAGTCTAACTGGGCAAGATATGTTCAAAGGGGAAAGGAAAAGTAGTCATAAAAAAAGGAAAGGAGGCAAACTACTAAGATAACAGAGGTTAGTGGGCAGATGAGGGTAAAGAAATAGGAAAGATTAAGTGGGGACTTGAAAAGACAGAATTATAGCAGAATTAATAGAAATTAATTCTTTAAAATGCAATATATATGAATGATTGTCTAAAACACAATGTATATGAAGAAATATATGCAAACCAAAAAAAGACTTTTTAAAAAATATTATAAAGATGAGAGTATTCATAGGGTTGCACAATTTGATGGGTGGAGGGATGGGTGCGTAAAGGAAATGGGAAAGAGTTGTGTGAAAAACAACATATACAAACTTTATAAGTAAACCAATATAAAAGAAAAATTTTATTTAAAAATTAGAAGGGCTATATGGTTAGTCAGGTCGGGGTCAAATGAAATAAAGAGATGTGGTAAACACTGACAGAAGAGGCCCAGACCTCAAGTGTGACTCATTTCCAATACTGTCTCTGTCCTGAGCATAGTTTTGGCAGCACAGCGAATGGCTGGATGTGGTGATCGATGACCGGCTCCCCACCTTCAGGGACCGCTTGGTTTTTCTCCACTCTGCAGACCACAACGAGTTCTGGAGCGCGTTGCTTGAAAAAGCCTATGCTAAGTGAGTGGTGGTATCCTTAAGCAGGAGTTTCCTGTGTCAGGAAGCATCAATTTCTCTCCCAAGAGCACTGTTCACAAGTATACTGCAGAGAGAGAGCTGAGGAGATGAGGGGGTGGAGACCAAGGCTCAGGCCTCACCAGGGAGGCACAGTCTGTCCATCTCTCTGGGGCTCCCTCTCAGATGGATGTAGAGAAGGACCCATTTGGACACTTTTCTTGTCTTGATACTAGATGTGACCTTTCCTTGGGCATCTGTCTGTGTGTAATAAGTCCAGCCTTTAGAAAAGAGGACAGAAAAAGAGCTGAGAGAGTAAGTGGAGGGACATTCTCCATATGCTGAAAGAACACTTGGATCTTGAGACTTCCCCACTAAACACTGTTATGGTGCAAACATCTGAGAAGAGAAAGCAACTTAATGATCTATCTATATAAACTGACACCTTCTTGGTCAGACCAATTCTAAGTGCAGTTATACAGAGTGTTACACACTCATGTAAACTATAGTAATCCTAGAATGTAGAGCCTGATTGTTATCCCCATCTTACAAATAAGGAAACTGAAGCACAGCACAAAAAGTTGAGTCCAGGTTCACCAGCTGTCATGGTGGAACTGGTGTCCAACCCAGAGTCCATGAGCTCGCACACCACCTCATTGTACTGCTTCTATCTATTTCCCCACAGCTCAACAGCTACTCCCTATCTGCCAGATCTGCCACCCCGGCCACCATATCTGACTCTGACTTGAAACAAGTGTTCACTCTTGACCTCATGACTGAGGAGCTCTGGTGGTATGACGGGCTAAGTTTTGTGCCACTGATTTTAAGGTTCATGGTTCAGCTTTACCATCCACTTAACAGGAGAAAGATGAGGTAGTCTATGTCCATAAAGATTTACAGTCTCAGGAACCCTGTTGTTGATTACTGTTGAGTCAAGCATGATTCATAGTGACTCATGAAAAAAAGACCTGAAGTCTTTCGATAACTATCATTTCTCACAGTTAACGGAGTTTCCAGAGGCATGTTGTTTAGGAAGTGGATGCCATTCCTGCTTATGTGACAATTTTCTGTCTCATCTGTTGGATAGCTGGGAGTATGAGAGGACTCAGTGCCAGCGAATTCTTAGGACTCTTATTCAGCAGCAATTTCCTTGCTCTCTTGCCGCCCTCACAGGCTTAATGGGAGCTATGAGGCTCTGAAGGGGGGAAGTGCCATTGAAGCCATGGAAGACTTCACTGGGGGTGTAGCAGAGACATTTGAAATGAAAGGAGCTCCAGAGAACTTCTATGAGATTCTAGAGAAGGCCTTGGAAAGGGGCTCTCTAGTGGGCTGCTCCATTGACGTAAGTCTTACTGTCACGGTCTCACACCCCCAGCTCTGGCAGGTGCAGTACCAGACTCAGAGGGCTGAGAAGGTTCTCCAGCTGCACAAAAGGAGAGGCATAACTTTATGTGTGAAGAAGGCATGTGTGGCAAGGTTTATTTTTTTGTAATCCCAACTGTTGTAAATGCTAATATGTACCCTCTCATGTCTCTCCCCTTGTCCACAAAAGCATTAACAAGCACAAATACATACATAGATGTCTGGGTCTGCTTGTTTCTACTACAATGGTGTCAAATCATACACTTTTCTGAGCCTTTTTATTTCACTTAATAGATCATGAAAAAGATCTATCTGTAGATAGAAACAGATCAATATTATTTCTTATTTTTATGCATATAAACACATATAATCTCAGCTCATCTGTTTTTTTAAAAATCTGTCCAAGTTTCCTAATGCCTCCTGGGTTAATTTTGGGAATTATTCTTTGCTATCAGAGTACCTAATTGCGCTGCATTTTCAAATTGTGAGATAAAATTGCCTATAATATTGTCACATACTTCTTTTAATCTCTGCTGTAAATATGACTGTATCTTCTCTTTAATGCAATACTTTTAGTCACATTGTTCTGGTTTTTTCAAGGAGGGAGTCAGTCGGCTCTTTATTGGAGTCTGAACAGATTATGAGGGCTTCAAAATCCCATGGAGAGATGAGGATTTTTCTATCTCACTGGTGGACTGCTTCCATTGAGGCAGTTTTATGACTCATTTGGGAGCAGGACAAGGAGGAGGGGAAAGCACAATGGGGCCAGGACAGAGTGGATCTCCTGGGGTAGGGACAACTTGGCTTGGACGATGTCTTCAATGTGGCTTTGTTCATGTTTTAGACCAGAAATGCTGCAGAATCTGAAGCCCGAACACCTTTTGGTCTTATTAAAGGTCATGCCTACACTGTCACGGGAGTTGACCAGGTTGGTGATAAAACCCTTTATTGGGAGGGCCTAGGTATAGGCATGATAATTGTAGGCCTTTATACCTATTTTATCCCTAATACCTTCTGGAACATTATTGTTGAAACAACTCTGTATGAGAATGAGAACACCTCAACATAGAGACACAGGCTAGAATCCCACTCAGCAAAACATCCAGTGCCCAACTTCTGAGCAAGTGTGGGGCCTTGTCTTTTACCCCCAACCCTACATCCAATTCTACATTAGCTCCATTCTCTGTAGCTGTAGTGCAGGATGAAACAAATTCCTGGGAATATTAGAACCACAAAGAACCTCACCAAGCTGGGAAAGAGAAGAGGAAATAAGAGAATAGAGACCAATCTGAGCATATTAACCACTTGCACCAGCCAGAGACTCTTTGATACCTGAGAGGAGAGAGTGTTGAAATCAATCATGTTGTGGAAATTATTTTTTATTGTTGTTGTTGATTGCCATCAAGTCAAGCACAACTCATACCAACTCCACAAACAAAAGACTTAATGCCTTTCCATAGCTATCGTCATTTCTCCAAGTTCATAGAGTTTCCATAGACATGTGGCTTAAGAAGTGGATGCCACTCCTGTTTCCAACCCTGTTTTACAACTGGGAGCTCCACCAAACATTTTCCACTTTGGGAGACCATTATGGCATTTGATACCCCAATGGCACAAATTACCAGTATGTACATAAATTCTGATGGCTCATTTGTAAGGAGGATGTGAAGGGTGAAGAAGATTCCACAATAGCTCTCTAAACATGTTTTCATGACATTATTTATCATTCACATGCTGTACTTTGAGATAAATGAGGCTGTGTCCCTATCTCTAGTGAGATTCCAGTCTAGAGAAAGCCTTCATTTGTTTGAAGACTCATGTGGTCTAAATTTTTGTTCATATGAATTACCGAGAATAGATGAAGCCCAACTCTTCTAGGTGTTTCATATGACATGAGTTATAATGTTAATAATTCATAATAAATAGAGAATTCTATGAGTTGATGAAGAATTGATGGACTATGTTATAAAGGTTGCAGAGTTTTAGCCAAGAGACTCCAGGAAAATCAGTCTCGACTGAACTTCTCCTGCAGTGACCATGCTGGGGCACGTATGGGAGCATAGCTTAGCCTCATTGCAATGATCTTGCCACAGCTCTCTAATGCTCTGCCCTTCCAGGTAAACTACCAAGGTCAACACATCAAGCTCATCAGAGTTCGGAATCCTTGGGGCCAGGTCGAGTGGAACGGGGCATGGAGTGACAAGTCAGTAACTTTGCTCTATCTCTGTTGCTCCCTGGGCATGGGGGTCAGGCCGGGTGTGTACAAACATTGGGAGGAGAAGTCATCTGTCTGCATTTTCCCTTAGCTCTTAGTCAGCTCTTTCCTGCCTCTGGGGTGGCCGTACTTCCCCTTTGTAGTCCACAGAGCCCACCTTTCAGACTATCTGGATTCTCAAGGAAAGTCCTTCAGCTCTCTACATAAATGTATTTAGGTCATGCTCTACAGGAGTATTTAATATGTTATTCCTTATGTGTGATTGTGAAAGGTTATATCATATATTAAAGTATGGGTACGTTCCATAACATTGTACATGCATGTAAGTGAATATGTACATATGTAAGCTGTAAGAGTGTGTGAATGAGCATGCATGTATAAGTATGTAGTTTGGTTGGGATAGGGAAGGGGATCAATGAATGATTTTAGCGTGAGAATTCTTGAAATGATGAACAGATAACTATAGGAATCTCTCTGATGGTCACTAATTGTTAGCTAGAAGTCCAGTGACCCAGCAGAGACACAAAGGAAGAGGAATAAGAAATTTGTCCTATTTCAGGGTACTTAATTTATGTGGCCCCCAAATATACTCCTTCTTCACTTATCTTAATGACTAACTCAAAATCAAGTAGAATTCAGAAGAGGTTGTGAAAGGAGAGCTATCACTGCTGATATCAAATGGATCTTGGCTGAAAACAGAGGATGCTTGTGCTTTATTACCTATGCAAAGCCATTTGACTGTAGATCATAATAAATTATGGATAGCATTTAGAAGAACGGAAATCATAAAACACTTGACTGTGATCATTTGAAATCTATACATAGATCAAGGACAAAATAAGGGAACACTGTATGGTTTAAAATTAAGAAAAGCGTGTGTCAGGACTGTATCCTTACTCCATAACTATTTAAACAGTATGCTGAGCAAATAATTTAAGAATCTAAACTATATTAAGAAGAACTTGGCATCAGGATTGGAGAAAGACTCATCAACAACATGCTTTATGCAGTTGGCAAAACCTTGCTTGCAGAAAGTAGATTTAAAATATGTGCTGCAGAAGATCAAAGACTACAACCTTCCATTCAGAGTTTTTCCCCCCAGTCAAATTCAGCAGTGGGAAATTGTATACCAAGGTTAGTTGCACTAATGTTAATAGTTTCTGATACCTAGCCTCAAAACAGATTCTAATTCAACATGAAAAAAACAAAAATCACCAATAAGCAGCTCTGGTGATGTAGTGGTAAGAAACTGCAATCTCAAAGGCACACAGTTCAAATCCACTAGGTGCTCCATGGGAGAAGAATGGGCAATCTCTTCCCGTGTGATTTATTGCCTCTGAAAACCCACGAGAAGGTTAGTTATGGATTGGTTCTAACTCAATGGTATACAATAACAAAACAGATCAATAGACAACATCGTTATGTTGTTGTTGTTGTTATGTGCCATCGAGTCACTTGCGACTCATAGCGACCCTATGTACAACAGCCCTAAACCCTGCTCTATCCTGTGCCAATCTCTGTCTCTGACACACCCATCCCGATTACCCCAGTCACTGAAACAATCCACCTCACAGAGGGTCTTCCCCTCCTGGGCTGTCCCTCTATCCTACCAAGCATGATGTCCCTCTCCAAGAACCTCTCTCTCCTTACAACATGTCCAAAGTATGTCAGACGAAGCCTTAGAATCCTTGCCTCCAAGGAGCAGCCTGGTTTAACCCTCTCCAGGATGAAACTGTTTGTTTTCTTGGCAGTCCAGGGGACATTCAATACTCTTCTCCAGCACCACAGCTCAAAGGCATCAATTCTCCTTCTATCCTCCTTAGTCATTGTCCAACTCTCTGATGCATAACAAGTGATTGCAAAGACCATAGCCTGTATCAGACGCACCTTAGTCTCCAGAGTGACACCATTGCCCTTCAGTACTCTGGAGAGGTCCCTAACAGCAGACTTTCCCATTGCAATACGTTTTTGACTTCCTGACTACTGGTGCCAAGAGTGTTGACTGTGGAGCCAAGCAGACTAAAGTTGTTAACAATCTCAATCTCTTCACCATCCATCCTGATGCTGCCAATTGGTCCAGTGGTGAGAATCTTTGTCCTCTTGACATTGAGCTTCAATCCATACTGAAGGCTGCAGTCCTTGACCCTTTGCAGCAAGCATTTCAGGTTCTCCTCAGTTTCAGAAACATCATTATAGATGGAAAAAAACATTAAAGTTGTCAACAACTGTATTTTACTTAAATCCACAATCAACAGCCATAGTAACAGGAGTCAAGGAATCAAAAGACATATTGCATTGGGAAAATCTCTTGTCACAAATCTCTCCAAAGTGCTAAAGAACAAGGATGTCAGTGTAAAGACTAAGGAGTTGTTTCAACAATAGCTGTGGACAGAGATCAGTAAGAACTCACCTCCTCACCACTACTAGATGTACATCTCAGCAAAACTCCATCTAGACTTGTAGGACACAGAAGGCCATGGGGTGATCTCAACATGTGGGCTTGTGCCATCTTGAGCTTGGTGAGGAGATACTCCATAGCTCAATAAAGCCACTTTAAAAAATCATACTGTGGGGAGGTATATGCTCAGAGTATGGGAACTCCCTTATCTATTCTCATAGACTGTACTCATTAACATAATCAAGCCACTACTATTACAGTGCATTAGATTTCTGATCTGTGGACCTGTCTAACAGCAAAAGCTGATAAAGGGAATTTGTTGGTCAAAATGTAAAAGTGTATGATTATAACTTTCTGTAGCAGAGATTACCAATGCTTGCTTTGAGCCAGCCAACCAGATGGTGAAATGTGACCCTCGCCATTATAAATACATGGCTTGCTGCCTGTTGTACCGTGGTGATGTGGTTCCCAAAGATGTCAATGTTGCCATTGCCACCATCAAGACCAAACGCAGCATCC